CCTTGCCTTGCGCGGGGGCCATGCTGATCTTCTGCAAAGGTATGTTTCCATCCCGAAGGGAAAATCACCACAGAATTCCTAACCAAACTCAAGATGAAGAATCCAGCGAGACAAAAAAAGAAAAACAGCTCTGCAAACAGTGCAAAGGTAACTAGTAAAAAAATACGGCACACACCCCTTGAAGTTTACACCCCTTCTAATAACCCCACTTTCTACTAAGTCCCCTTTTATGAACTGCGCCGTCTATTAAACCATCTCTACCCCCGACAGCCTAAAGAAGGATTCCCGGAGAGTTCGGGCCGCACAAAACGGTAGGGCGGCGACCAGCAGGTGCAGGCGGGTCCAGTCCCTCAATTTTCACGTGCCAACTTCGGCGATTTTTCGCGCTCGGAAGAATTAATGAAAAAATCTGAAAATTTGGGGATCCTGTAGATTAAATTGTGATCTTTCCAGGAAAAATACCAGAAAAAAATTGAAGAACTATCTTGGACCGTGAAATAAATGCCGTCATTGCCGTGTCGATTCCTCACGTTTTCCATTTTTGCCACTCGACGACATGAGGGCCAACGGAAAAAGTACCCCAACTTCCACGATTTTTTGCGCTCAGAAAAATGACTCGAAAAAATTCTGAAAATTGGAGGGTCTCTGGATTTCGCCATGGTCTTGCCAGGTAAAATATTAAAAAAATTAAAAATATCTATATATATTTTAGACCATGAAATAAATGCTGCGCCGATTCATCTCATTTTCCATTTTTGCCGCTCTACCACGTGTGGGCCAACGGGAAAAGTACCCTCAACTTCAGCAGCGATTTTTCACGATCAAAAGAATGTGTCAAGAAATCTGAAAATTGGAAGGTCAGTAGATTTGGTCGTGATCTTTCCAGGAAATAATAATAATAATAATAATAATAATAATAATAATAATAATAATAATAATAATAATCGTCTAAAGTTCTCTAAACCGCGAAATAAATCGCAGCGGCAATTCGATGCATTTTCCATTTTTGCCACTCCCCTGGTTCTCCTCACTGTGCTACCGGTAGCCCTCTTCAACCTGTGCTACCAGTCCCCCCGACTTCAGGACGGCGGGGGTAGTGGGTGGCTTAAGCCCCCTTTTATTCTGTCATTCATTCTCCCCTTAAAGCTCAAACATGTTTCTTGCAAGTGAAGTTGGGTTTCGCCTGCGTTTGATGTGCTCGAAATAAATAACTGTGCCAATCTCATGAGAATCTGCCTTCCCGGGCCTTTCCTGCCTGATTGGATCTGCTGGACAGGTGCACTGCGGCGGCCATCAGGCCAGACAGCCTCGCAACCTGCGTAAGCATTGTACTATGGAACCAAGGGGCTTTGGGGTGAAGGGGCTTTGGGGTGAGAATTAAGATGAAGCGGCATGGCGTTGAACATAATTAGCATCATTTGCTGCCACATTTACAGAGGAATTCTGAGAGCAGGCTCACACAAGGACTCTTCTGGATGTTTCTGACCGTATTTACGGACAGTCCTCGACGTATCGGACTGCAATTACGTCCAGAAGCGATTTGTGGTGGATGAGCATTACCTTCACGGTGATATGTAGTACAGTCGTATGATAGTTCTGTTGCTGCTAGAGACCAGTAGAGCTGCACCAACACGTTCTATGATGGTGGGGGACCACTTGTTCCTCTCCCTGTGTGAAGGTGGGCAAGGGTGTTGGTTCTCTGTGTCACCCACTAATTCTGCATGGATGCGCACAGTGGTAGTTGTACTCTTACCTGTGATCACCATAGTACCCTAGTGTTATGTGACTGATTGAAATACCATCCAACAGAGCATAAACATGTTCCCATAACACATGCTAGATGGCAATAGCATCTGCCAGAATCACTATGATGTCGCGGGTTCTGCGGGGATGTGTCCAGAAGACTGCCTTTTCTTTCCCCATTGAATAACGCATTGGCACACACCTTGCGCCGAAGGATAATGCTGTAGTACCTGGCTATATGCTGATCGTAGTGCACGCATCTATACTTGTGATGTGGTTTGTTCGTTCGTCCTCATCTGCATATTGATCTGCATTCAATATGCTGCTGATCGTTGCGGGCGCGCGTCGGGATGGCTGCGACATTGAGCATTCCAGATTTGGTTTATTGTGCTGTCAACATCACCTTGTGTTGTCGTCCTTATCGTGCTGTTTCCTGGGACACCATCGCCTGACTAACCCTAGACTCCTTTTTTTTTTTTTTTTTTTTTTTTCCGACTAACCCTAGACTCGTCCGCTGGTGCCTTGTTATTACAACCCATCTATCGTGCTCCACAGACTGCGAGTGGATTCGTTGCAGACAGGGGTGCGCTCACGTCCTGCTTTGTTGATATGGACATTGACGATATGGACACGAGAAGTGAAGGATGAAGGGGAAAGGAAGAGGAGAAAAGAAGGCAAAGAAGCTTGAGAAAGAGCATAATAATGGAATTGAAAGAGAGAGAGAGGAGAAAAGGAGAAGAAGAAGAAAAGAGGAAAAAAGAAAGAATGTGGCTTTGCCTCCTTGCCTTGGCGGTTTTGTCTGCGGTTTTTACACATTTGTTTTGTTTTGCAGGCGCACTTCTGCTTGTTTTTCTCTTGTATTTTGTCTTTTCAATTGGTTTTCTTTTTAATAGGGTGAGGCAGCAGGAGAGTTCGGCCAGCTGGTGTGCCTCAGAGGGCCAGCTTGGTGGAGAAGTTGTGGGGGGGGGGGGAAGAGAGGACCTCCCTGGGTGTGGAGGCCCTGTGGGGCTAGGGTACAGTACGGGGGCTACTAGATTTGTGCTGCGGGAGAAGGAGGTGTGGGCTCAGATTAGGGTTTCCTGAGAGCATGTCATCAAGTTGGGGGCTGTGAGGCCCATACGGGAGCGGAGCTGGCAAATCAGCTCACTGCCAGCTACGCCAGACTTTGTCTCTCACCGCCCTTGTGTGGCGTTTCATTGGAGGAGGTCGGACAGGCTTTACCGTCGTCAACCAAATAGAACACCTGGTCATTATCGCTGCATGTAGACTGAAAGTTGCACCAAATACGGCTATAAGGACCGGTAGGACTGGATCTTCATCCAGGTGCACGGCTCTGCCGTCAGTCGTGACGAAGAGTGGTTCTCTCAGGTGTGTGTCGTCTGTGCATCCATTACAAAAGTGGAGAGACAACTGAGACAACTGGGGGTAGCAGGAGAGCGAGTAGGGAGGGAGAAAAGGGAGAAAAGCTTGCTAGTAGAAGGTATTGAAAAAGCAGTTTCCGGGCACCTATCGTCGGACATTAAAGAGTCTCTGATTGTTTGCTCATTCGTGTATGCACTACATTGGAACAATGTAAGGAGGGGCATGAGGGGGCATGAGGGGGTGTGCACAGCTATGCGTGCTCTTGAGTCAGATCAGTGTAAAGAGGAGCATGAGAGTGATGTGATGAAGTGACAAGATGAGGGTGAGGATTATTGTGTTTAGTATTGTCTCAAGTATCAATCGTCTTCTTATTCATGTCCATTCTCTTTTCTCTTGTCTTTGGCAATATTCGCTTCCATGCGTATGCGTCAGTTTTGAGTTATATCCATTGTGAATGGACTAGGATCGTAGTACATGTATGTTCAGACTCTATGAGAGTTGTCGTGCTACGCAGAGAAAGTAGTTATGGGACAAAGGAAAGGAGGGGTGGGTGTCATGTTTGTTGCTCTGGTGCAACGCCGATGATGCGTCTACACGGCGGCAGAACCGTGAACCCGGTGTCTGTCTCCGACGTAAATTACTGAATCAGTACTGATGATGCTTCAAGGCATATATCACTGAATCAATACTGATGACGCTTTGAGGCGTAATTTTGCTTGACCCTGGGTACA